TTATATATCTGGGTTCTAAGCCTGGGAGATAGTAGCAGTAAGTAATGTATAAGCTCTCTGAGGAGGTAGGTGAAGATGAGATCTGGAACTCAAGAAGGAGGGTTAGATTTAAGCAAGAGGGTGACCTCTTCCACTGTGAAGGACTGGAGTAATGATTGGAGGGCAGTGGCTCTTAACCTTGACTACACCTTAGAATCTCCTCAGGTGAGTTGTTGAAAATCCCAGTGCTTTACTTACACCAAGACCAAGTGATATAATTAGGCTTTGTGTCCCCACTGAAATCTCATCTTGAATTGTAATCCTCCAAATCTGCATAATCTCCACAATCCCCACATGTCAAGGGAGAGACCAGATGGAGGTAATTGAACCAGGGGGGAGGTTTCCCCCATGCTGTTCTCGTGATGGTAAGTGTATTCTCACAAGATCTGATGGTTTTATAAAGGGCTCTTTTCTCAGGATTTCTTCCTGCTGCCTTACAAAGAAGGTGCCTTGCTTTCCCCTTTGCCTTCTGCCATTGCAAAATTTCCTGAGGCCTTTCCAGCCAAGCCAAATTGTGAGTCAATTGAACCTCTTTTCTTTGCAAATTGCTCAGTTCTTTATAGCAGTACCAAAAAGGAATAATATACCCAGCAAATCAGAATCTCTGGTATCAGTACCAGACATTAGTATTTTAAAAGGTCTTTGGGTGATTTCAGCATGCAGCCAAGGAAGGAACCCACTGACACAGCAGTATAGCAGGGCAGAGTATCAGGCCCATCTGAGTTCGGATCTTACAGAATTACAGTGGTCTACAAAGAGTAACGAGATTTGTCTTCAGTAGTATTAAGCACTCAGAGATTTGTATTCGAGATGTCAGAAAATAGGATTGAGATTTGTAAATGGGGTGTGTAGAACACAGGCAATGGAATTGAGAGTTTCGGCTCAAGTAATTAAACATTAGTCCAAGAAATCTTGATTTTGAAGGAAAGTGAAAGAGCTTCCTTTTTGTGGCAGACAGGTGGAGAGAACATGTGGGCCAAAGGATTGAATCTGGTGATGAAGATGATGAGGGGTGGTCTCAAAGCAAAGAAGTGAGAGCTGGGAAGTAAGGGGCTGTGGTGAAGAGAGGATTTGGTGAGGCACTGATTTCAGTCCCATGATGGGATTTCTTATAGAAAGACAGCTGGAATCAATGATGGTCCAGTTGAAGGGTTAGAGAAAAATTTTATTCAATGCACAGTGTCTTAGGTATCATTTTGGGAGTATGTGTATTAATTATGTCTTGTATTTTCTGTGTTTCATGATGCTTCAACATCTTGGAGGCCTTGTGGGCCTGGGAAAGCCTGCTCCTTTCAGTGCTTACTAGTTCCTAGGTATCCAAATGTCTTTAAGATGGGAAAGTTCCCATTACTTTAATTGCATAGGTTCTGTCCCTATGAAGTGGCAACTTTCAGCTGAAGGGAAGTGGCTAGATCACCAGGAATTTGCAGTTCCTGGTAAATGAATACTTTTCCAGGCTTTGGGGTAACTGGCAAGTGGCAAGTTAGAAGAAGGGGCAAATGTTTCCCCTGTGAGAATGTCATTATGATGCAAACCAACCAATCCAGAGCCCATATCCTCAATCACCTCCTTTATTTAACTCTCACGTGCCAAGCCAACATTTCCCCTACCCTAATCAGCCATGGCAAGGTCCTGGACTATTAGAGACCACCCATGTAGTCCAGAGCCTGCTGAAATTATTCAATCCAATCTTAAACTTGCTCAAGCTTTCTACTCCACTCACTCATTTCTTCCCGTAGAAACCACAATCGAGTCTCTAGGTCATGGTCTTCCCTTTCTCCTTTTGTCTCCTAACAAACCTGTGTGCCTCTCCGTGTGGCCCTGTATGACACAGCATGCCTCCCTCTTAGGAGCTGTGAGTAATAAACTCTTCTTTCAAAGGCAACTGTTTCTGTGTCTGTCACTTTACCCTACCTGATTGAAACAACTCTGGGTACAAATCTTGAGACAGTGTAAATTATTTCAGCATTTAAAATGAAAGACAATGTTACTTCCCATGCCAGCAATTGACTACACATGATTTGAATGGGTTCTCTGTGTTCTTTCAACACTGGTTGGAACCTGGCAGTCATTACGTGATCTCTGGCTGGACAGCATTTCTGTATGTGTGTTTTATTGTTTGGTCAGTAGACCTTTGCACATGCACGGCTGAGGTGTGTATAGGTGAATTCAGTACTTTCTGGGTTGGAGTGGGCATCTTTAAAGCCATCTCTGGCTCTAGTCATACAGTCTAGAAATTATAGTATCATTTTGGCATACTCCGTTGGGTATTCCTCTTCCTCTGCCTATCCTGTGTTTTTATTTGAAAAGCATTTATTGACTAACTGACACGTATATGTATGTAAGGAGGGTATTCAATGAAAAACGTAGCTTTATCCCACCTTTATTCCCCAGTCCCCAGACTTTTACTTTGGCAGAAACATGTGTGTCTGTGTCTGTGTGTGTATGTGCACACATAGAAACAGGAAATATGCAGACACACACATGCACACACAATTACATATTTTTGCTCATAAATGCTAGCATATCATAAACCTTGATTTATTTGCTCATTCATTCAACAATTTATTAAACATCCATTCCATGCCAGACGCTGATAGGAACTGGGAATACCACGGCGAGGGAAGCAGATGGCTGTTTGCAGCATTTATTTTGGAAGGAATGGGCGATTAAACAGTGTAAAGGCAAGTAAGATAATTTCCAATAATGACAGATGATTAAACATTAAAACATGATAATGTGAGAGAGGGTAGAGGGGCAACGTTATATGGGTTGATCAATGAAGGCTTCTTTGGGGAGTATTTGAGTTGAGACAGCATCTGAATGACAAAAAGCCAGGTTGGGAAGACCTATGGGAAGAGCATTCTAGGAGTGGAAATAACAAGGGAAAAGGTGAGATGTGCCAGAAGAAAAGAGTTGAATCAAGGATGACTCTTTAATACATATAATCACACGCTTGGCTTTTTTCATTTAACAACTTATATGAGACCTGGTTCCACACCTGCCACAGATAAAACTGTTTCATTCCTTTCAGCAGCCTCATAGAATTCCGTCACAGGGATAAACCAAATCATGTTTAATCGGTCACATGTTGATTGATATTTAAGAAATTGCTAGATTTTTGCTAATCCAAGTAATGCTGACATGAATATTTTTGAACGTTCATATTTTCCCACAAAGCAAATAAACTTGTAGGGTCAAACCCTGGAGGCAAAATAATTGAAACAATAATATGTGCCATCTATTTTAATTAATACCATCCACTTTCCCTGCATAGAAATTGTACACATTTATACTTTCATCAGTAATGTACAAGAGAGCCTGTTTCACTCTCCTGCTGTGTTACTCATCTTTCAGTGTTGTTAATTTGGCAAGTTCATATATGGTTTCATAATTTTATTTTGCATTTCTCTTATGAATGGTATTGAAACCTTTCCACTGAGTAAGGGCTATTTACATTTCCTTTTCTATAAACAGTCTGCTATAATTTGCCCATTTATTTTTTTTCTTATTAATTGGCAAGAGCTCTTTATGTATTGATGAAATCAGCCTCTTTCATACATTAAATGTGAATTTCCAAGTTTCTCTTTTCTCTTTTCAGTTTGCTTAAGGTGGTGTCCTATGGAGAAAGCTTTGAATTTTTTTTAACATAATAAATTTCATGTTTTGTGTTATACTTAGAAAGTCAGTTCATTTTTTAGTGTTAATGCTCCTCAGAGTCTTATCCTGAAGCTGCTCCTCTAACTGTACTTACTCATTCTGGGAGATCTCAGCCATGCTAATCTCAAATATGCTGGTGATGTCTACCAGCTATGCCAGTTTTTAACATGCTGGTGATGTCTACCAGCCATGCCAGTCTCCAACAAGCTAGTGACTTCTACCAGCCATGCCAGTCTCTAACATGCTGGTGACTTCTATCAGCCATGCCAGTCTCTAACATGCTGGTGATGTCTACCAGCCATGCCAGTCTCTAACATGCTGGTGACTTCTATCAGCCATGCCAGTCTGTATCATGCTGGTGACTTCTACCAGCCATCCCAGCCTCCAACATGCTGGTGACTTCTACCAGCCATGCCAGTCTCTAACATGCTGGTGACTTCTACCAGCCATGCCAGTCTCTAACATGCTGGTGACTTCTACCAGCCATGCCAGTCTCTAACATGCTGGTGACTTCTACCAGCCATGCCAGTCTCTAACATGCTGGTGACTTCTACCAGCCATGCCAGTCTCTAACATGCTGGTGACTTCTACCAGCCATGCCAGTCTCTAACATGCTGGTGACTTCTATCAGCCATGCCAGTCTCTAACATGCTGGTGACTTCTATCAGCCATGCCAGTCTCTAACATGCTGGTGACTTCTATCAGCCATGCCAGTCTCTAACATGCTGGTGACTTCTACCAGCCATGCCAGTCTCTAACATGCTGGTGACTTCTATCAGCCATGCCAGTCTCTAACATGCTGGTGACTTCTATCAGCCATGCCAGTCTCTAACATGCTGGTGACTTCTATCAGCCATGCCAGTCTCTAACATGCTGGTGACTTCTATCAGCCATGCCAGTCTCTAACATGCTGGTGACTTCTACCAGCCATGCCAGTCTCTAACATGCTGGTGACTTCTATCAGCCATGCCAGTCTCTAACATGCTGGTGACTTCTATCAGCCATGCCAGTCTCTAACATGCTGGTGACTTCTATCAGCCATGCCAGTCTCTAACATGGTGACTTCTACCAGCCATGCCAGTCTCTAACGTGGTGACTTCTACCAGCCATGCCAGTCTCTAATGTGGTGACTTCTACCAGCCATGCCAGTCTCTAACATGCTGGTGACTTCTACCAGCCATGCCAGTCTCTAACGTGGTGACTTCTACCAGCCATGCCGGTCTCTAACGTGGTGACTTCTACCAGCCATGCCAGTCTCTCACGTGGTGACTTCTACCAGCCATGCCAGTCTCTAACATGGCGACTTCTACCAGCCATGCCAGTCTCTAACATGCTGGTGACTTCTATCAGCCATGCCAGTCTCTAACATGCTGGTGACTTCTATCAGCCATGCCAGTCTCTAACGTGGTGACTTCTATCTGCCATGTCAGTCTCTAACGTGGTGACTTCTATCAGCCATGCCAGTCTCTAACGTGGTGACTTCTATCAGCCATGCCAGTCTCTAACATGCTGGTGACTTCTATCAGCCATGCCAGTCTCTAACGTGGTGACTTCTACCAGCCATGCCAGTCTCTAACATGCTGGTGACTTCTATCAGCCATGCCAGTCTCTAACATGCTGGTGACTTCCATCAGCCATGCCAGTCTCTCTCATGGTGACTTCTACCAGCCATGCCAGTCTCTGACAAGGGCATTTCTCTACCCAGATTCTTCTGACACACATCTGGCTGCTGACTCTGCCACCCCTTGTCAACATGATCAACAGTGAACTCATCACGTCCACCTTGTTCTTCCCTCACACTGGTTGCTTTCCTTGTGCTCTCCATCTCAGTGAGCCCAATCTGTCATCTTTTCCAGGACAGAAAGCTATCTGTCATCCCTTACAAGGCTTGCAAGATCTGATTTCTATTTGTTTCTCTAGCACAGCCTCTTTTTTCTTTTTTAGACAGAGTTTTGCTCTTGTTGCCCGGGCTGGAGTGCAATGACATGATCTCAGCTCACTGCAACCTCCACTTCCCACATTCAAGTGATTCTCCTATCTCAGCCTCCCAAGTAGCTGGGATTACAGGCATGTGCCACCATGCCTGGCTAATTTTTGTATTTTTCATAGAGATGAGGTTTCACCACTTTGGCCAGGCTGGTCTCGAACTCCTGACCTCAGGAGACCCACCCTCCTTCCTCCCAAAGTCCTGAGATTACAGTAGTGAGCCAGTGTGCCCGGCCTACAACCTCTTAATATTTGCAACACACACGGCATCTCTCCTGACCACTTCATCACTACCAATAAGAACCTATCATACTGACTAGTTTCCATGTTCTCTTTGCCTTGGAGCATTTGCACATGCTGTTCCCTCTGCCTGGACTCTCCTCTTTCAACTTTCTTTGTCTGGCTCTAGATATTTCCACTTGACTTTAGATCTTACACCTTACTTATTTTATAAGCTTTTCCTGATGCTTCCACTACCCAAGTTTTGGCTGTTTTTTTCTGCATAATGTTATATTTCCTCCCTTCTTACTATTTACTTAACAGCAATGCAATTGCCTATTTATTTGCCTGAATCTCCCAGATTTTCAAACTCCGTATAAACCTTACCTGCATTTCTTCAATAATTTGGATAGGTGCTAGGAACATAGTGGCATCTTTATCACTGTTGAGTCCTTAACTGTCTAGTTCTTGGAATGGAACTCATAACATGTAGTAATTGCAAATATGGATGAATAAATACATTCTGGAATTTTCCTAGTGTAACGTACATGTGTACTTCAGTTTTGTGCAGTTTGCACTCTTTAACATACTAGGATATGTCAGTGTAACGTTGTTTAGAAACAGTTACATCAAATGAATTTATTTGCTCACTAATTTTTACAAGACAGTGTGGATTGTTATTCTTCCTCTTAATGTCTCTTTACTTTATCAATGACAGTAATGTTTTCTTCAAGCTGCTGGGGAATTAAAATACTTTGTATAATGCTATTCTTATACCACATACATATAGCCACTCCTCTAAAGCTCCCTCTAGTTCCCCTTCACTTAAGTCCAGAGTTATTGGTGAGAAGAGAGTTTTCAGGAAGGTGAGATTCAGACCTGTATCCTGGGGATAAGAAAAAGTCTCTGATTCATTGACAGGGCTCCAGCAAAAAATTATAATTTAAAAAATATATAAAAGTAATATACATTGAAAATAATTATGGGAAATTTGAAAAATTTGCACTGAAGAAAATAAAATTACCCATAATCTTATCACATAGAGATGGAAATTATTAACATTTTTGGTGTTTTAAAAAATCTAGTCTTTTATGTATTTGTGTATATGTGTACATACATGTACTTTTTTTTGGGGGGGGATCATCAGTTCTACTTCTTGAAAGTTTTATTCAGCACTACATCATGAATATTTTATCAGGTCAAAAATAAATCATGAAACACCTTTGCTACATATATTTTAAGGGTTCCATCATATTTATTTAATTATTATCCCAATAATGGACCTCTACATTGCTTTGCGTTTTTTTACTAATATTAGAATACTGCAGTTAATGTCCTGATATGGTTAGGCTGTGTCCCCACCCAAATCTCATCTTGAATTGTAGCTCCCATAATTCCTATATGTTGTGAGAGGGACCAAGTGGGAGATAATTAAATCATGGGGTCGGTTTCCCCCATACTGTTCTCAGAGTAGTGAATACGTTTCATGAGTTCTGATGGTTTTATAAGGGATTTCCCCTTCACTTGGCTCTCATTCTCCTTGCCTGTCTCTATGTAAGACGTGACTTTGCTCCACATTCACTTCCACCATGATTGTACAGCCTCCCCACGCATGTGAAACTGTGAATTGATTAAACCCCTTTCCTTTATTATTATCCAGTCTTGGGTATGACTTTATTAGCAGCATGAGAATGGAGTAACACATGTCCCTTACAAAAATATTTATCCATGTCTCTGATTATTTCCTCAGTATAAACTTCAAGAAATGGAATTAGTGGATCTGAGAGGACAATACTTAGGACTATGATTTAAAAGAAAGAATGGAGCTTCTCAAAGACTGTCTTATAGAGGCCACCTAAGAGTGGTCTTCACATCCTAACTTTGCTGACACTGAAAATTGTTTGAGGAATTATTTGTAAGTTTGATAGGAACCAAATTATACTTTATTGTCTGAATTTTTTGTTACAAATGAAGTTGAAATTTAAAAATATTTTATAAAGTCATCCTGTAAATTATTTATCACTTACCTATTTTTTTTTTTTTTTTTTGAGGTGAAGTCTCACTCTGTTGCCAAGGCTGGAATGCAGTGGCGCAATCTTGGCTCACTGCAACCTCTGCCCCTGAGGTTCAAACAATTCTCCTGCCTTACCCTCCCATGTAGGTGGGATTACAGGTGCTCTGCCACCATGCCCAGCTAATTTTTTGTATTTTTAGTAGAGATGGGTTGGTTGGCCAGGCTGGTCTTGAACCCCTGACCTTGTGATCGACTGTCTCAGTCTCCCAAAGAGCTGGGATTACAGGCATGAGCCACTGCGCCGGCCAATTGTATTTTTAGTAGAGATGGGGTTTTACCATCTTGGCCAGGCTGGTCTTGAACTCCTAACTTTGTGATCTACTTGCCTCAGCCTCCCAAAATGCTGGGATTACATGTGTGAGCCACCGTACCCAACTACCCAGTTTTAAAATTGTGGTGTTCATCTTTTTCTTTTTTTTTTGGGTAAGAATGATTACACTAGCCATTTTATTGTTATATTTGTTGGAATCTCCAGTTTGTCACTTGCTTTTATTTTATATACATATAAAAGTGGACACTACAGGACCTTGTGTGTGTGTGTGTGTGTGTCTGTGAATTTTACACATCATATATTATTTATCTTTTCTTTTTTTTTTTTTTTGAGATAGTGTCTTACTATGTTGCCCAGGCTGGCTTTAAACTCCTGGCCTCATACAATTCTCTCACACAGACTTTTGAGTAGCTGGGACTACAGGGACATGCCACCATGCCTGGCAACATATACCCTTTTTTTTTCTCAGATGGAGTCTTGCTGTGTCACCCAGGCTGTAGTGCAGTGGTGCAATATCAGCTCACTGCAACCTCCGCCTCCCAGGTTCAAGCAATTTTCCTGCCTCAGCCTCCCAAGTAGCTGGAATTAAGGGTGCCTGCCACCAAGCCCAGTTAATTTTTGTATTTTTAGTGGAGATGGGGTTTCATCATGTTGGTTAGGGTGGTCTCGAACTCCTGACCTCATGATCTGCCCTCTTTGGCCTCCCAAAGTGCTGGAATTACAGTTGTGAGCCAATGTAGCCAGCCAACATATACTTTTTTTTTTTGAGACAGAGTTTCGCTCTTGTTACCCAGGCTGGAGTGCAATGGCGTGATCTCGGCTCACCGCAACATCCGCCTCCTGAGTTCAGGCAATTCTCCTGCCTCAGCCTCCTGAGTAGCTGGGATTACAGGCACACGCCATCATGCCCAGCTAATTTTTTGTATTTTTAGTAGAGACGGGGTTTCACCATGTTGACCAGGATGGTCTCGATCTCTTGACCTCGTGATCCACCTGCCTCAGCCTCCCAAAGTGCTGGGATTACAGACGTGAGCCACCGCGCCTGGCCCCCAACATACACTTTTTAATAAACACAAGAATTAAATTTTTCTGCAATCAAACTTAGTTGACATTTTTCCCCCATAACTCTTGTTGCCTTCGTGCTTAGATATCTCTCCTCATTTGGAGACAAGTTATACTTTTATTTTTAATATATATTTTTTGAGATTTAAAAAATTATTTTATATTTTACATTTAAATCTTTAATGCATATGACGCCTTGGTGCATATCTTAAGGTGAATGCTCAAGATTATTCTAAATCACTATATTTTCATTCCCACTTGGTTTGTGCTAATGTCTTCACCACATCCTGCCTCATTCCTCCTTTTCCTTCTGCATCCTAGACACACCTCTGACTGAGAACCCTGCATTCTCATGTGTGGACTTTTGCCACAATCCCTTACTAGCCCCATCATCTTTACTCTGTCTTCTAGTGTTATTGCCAATTCACCTTTCTAGCGTATTGCTTTATTAGTATTATGCTTCTTTCCCCCAAACTGAGATAAAGAAAGCCAAAGTATGCAGTTCAAGGTCCCATGCTTATTTTCCCAAAGTCACTGTCCATTAGTGTTACCATCTCAGTTACCTGAGAAAAGCATCAGTCATTCTGATAGCAAGTTTATATGCTCATTACCTCTACAAAGCATTTTTCATGTCACGTCCCAGGTAAGAGGCTTCTTATGGGAAAGAGGGTCTAGAAAAGCTTGTGGCCTAGACTGTCTGCCGTCTGATTTTCTGCATTCACAGACATTAATTACCCAGAGTCAAATTAGTGAATAGGCCTTTCAGTTGACTTCCAGATGATTTAAGTCGAGGCAAATCAACCACTGCCTCTAAGTCATTTCAGACAACCTAGCCTCATCCAGCAAACCTTCCCGATTAATGCCACCTGTGTCTGATTATTATTTCAGTTCCCCATTTGTCATTCTTCCTGCATTAAGTTGGCACTAGATTATTATTATTATCATTATTTTGAGATGGAGTCTTGCTCTGTCGCCAGGCTGTAGTGCAGTGGCATGATCTTGGCTCACTGCAATCTCTGTCTCCTGGGTTCAAGCAATTCTCCTGCCTCAGTCTCCTGAGTAGCTGGGACTACAGGTGCACACCACCACGCCCAGCTAACTTCTGTATTTTTAGTACAGTCAGGGTTTTACCATGTTGGCCAGATGGTCTTGATCTCATGACCTCATGGTCTGCCTGCCTCGGCCTCCCAAAAGTGCTGAGATTACAGGCATGAGCCACTAAGCCTGGCACTAGATTGACAGTTATTTCCTCTTGTACCCTTTTTAGTGATCCACATATATCCTTGCATGCTCCATTTTAAGGGATCAGAGAGCAGGAAGGAACCTTACGGATCATAGAGTCTTGCTCTTATTTTATAGTTGAGGCCACTGAGGCTGGAGAGATGAAGGAAGGGCCAAAGGCCATGGACCTGAGCAGCTCTCGAGCCTCCTGGAGGCTCCTTTCCTCCACTCCCTTTTCTGCTAGCCTTCCTCTGGGCTCTGGCTAGAACCTCTTTTCTTGTTTCTGTATAAAATTTCCTGGGTGATATTGCCCACCTTCATGGTCTCAGCAGCCAACTATAATTTACAATCTATCCTCTGCTCTTTAATCTCTCTGGATGGGTGTGTCTGCCTTCTGAAGCAGCATCTTCACTGGTTTGTCTTAGCAGCATTTCAACTGGACATATTCAAAACAGAACCCTCTACCACCCCCTTCTGCCCACTTGCTCCTGCTCCTGTATTCTCATCAATGGCACCACTATCCACCAAATAATCTAGATGAGAAGTGATCCTTAACTCCTCTTTCTTCCTCATCTTCATTCCAATGAAGGTCCTGTTGTGCCCACTTCCAGCACACCTCTGGACTCTTCAAATGGCTTGATCCCCTGTGCTGACACCCTGGTGCCGGTTCCACTCCCCCTCTCTCGGACTATACCTACAGTTTCCTGAACAGGTCTTCACATCTTTGGTCCATGTGCCACCCTGCAGGCTGAGTAACCATGCGATGGTGGTGGCCATCACACCCCTCCCTGAATTCAGACTCCCCATCTGTTTCCAAGGTCCTTCCCAACATGCCCCAGCCCCTGTGAAACACTTTTGCTTGGAGCATTCTGCATTGTTCTCTTCACCTGGTTAACCCTTACTTATCTTACAGTTCTCCCCAAAACACTTTCCCTGACTCCCCTCAGCCCTCAAAAAGTCTAGCATGGGTAACCCGTCTTAGGAACCACTCCACCCACCTCTGGTTTAATCCTCACATCTGGCCTTCTCACCTATGGGTCTAGGAGCGTCATGAGGTCACGAGCTGTGCCTTCTTTATCACTGCCGGCTCCGCAGCTTGCATGGGCTCCAACACGCGGGAAGAAACTCAACAAGTATTTAGGGAGCCAATAAATGTAGGTGTAGGGCTCTACACCACAGTGTCTTGGCCATTCAAGGGAGGAGTGGAGGATGGGGCAACCGCCGGATGGCTGTCCTGGTGACATTTCTGAGTTCTCTTTCCTGAAGGCGGTCATTGAGTCCCCTTGGTGGCTTTCCCCATGCAGACCCTTCACGATGGGGAAAACTCTATGGAGTGGAGCTGCCCCCTCTGCCTGGCCCCGGCTTGCCATCAGAGCTCGCGCAGATCCCCCTCTGGGGCTTGGCCTGGCCGCCTGCGCCCCAGCACTCTGCGCAGGGCGGCGGTGATCTCGCGGTTGCGCAGGCTGTAGATGAGCGGGTAGAGCAGCGGCGTGACGTTGGTGTAGACCAGCGCCAGGGTGCGGTCTAGCCGCGGGGAGTAGCTGGCCCTGGGCCTCACGTACATGAAGGTGGCACAGCCGTAGTGCAGGAAGGTGACTGCCAGGTGTGAGGCACAGGTGGAGGCGGCCTTGCCCCGGCCTCTGGGGCAGCGCAGGCGGCACAGGGCAGCGGCGATGGCGCCGTAGGAGGCCAGGATGAACACCGAGGGCAGCAGCAGCAGCACCAGGCAGGCGCCCAGCAGGGGCAGCTCGTCAGCATAGCTGCGGGTGCAGGCCAGATGCAGCAGCGCCGTGATGTCGCAGAAGAAGTGTACCAGCAGGCGGGAGCCGCAGAACGGCAGGTGGAAGATTGCCACCGTGAGCCCCACGGACACCGCCAGTCCCCCGAAGCAGCAAGCCAGGGCCAGCCGCGCGCACAGCCCTGAGGTTACGAGGGCCGCGTAGCGCAGCGGGTGGCAGATGGCCACGTAGCGGTCATAGGCCATGGCAGCCAGCAGGAAGCACTCGGCCCCGCCCAGAGCCACAAACATCTGCATCTGAAAGGCGCAGCCCAAGAAGGAGATGGGGCTGCCCCTACTGTGGCCCGGTGTGCTCAGGTCGGCCAGGGAGCGGGGCACGACTACCACCGTGTAGCAGAGCTCGATGGCTGACAGCTGGCACAGGAAAAGCAGCATGGGCTGCCGGCTGGGCATCGAGGCCACGGCCACCAGGATGAGCAGGTTCCCGCTCAGGGTGGCCAGGTGCACCCCCAGCAGCAAAAGGAAGAGCAGGGGCCTCAGGTTCGGGAACTCGGAGAAGCCTTGAAGGAGAAAGCCGCAGGGCATGGTGGCATTGCTGGGGCTGTCCATGCAGGGATCTGCCCAGGGGCACCTGTGGGAGAGAGGCACAGGAGGGAAGAGCTTGTTGGGTATGCAGGCTCTGGCCCTGAGCATGGAGGAAGAGTGGAGGAAGAGTCAGGTGGAAGGTAGAGGGTGGACCAGGAATGGTGATGCAGAGAGGTCACAACTGTTCATGGGTCCATTCCCAGCCCGCCACCCCACCCCTCCTCACAAGGAAGTCTTACTGACTTGTGCAGAAAAATAGTGCAGTTTTTGCTGCCTCCTGGACAAGAATTCCTACAGCTGCTTTCTCAATGTGCTGTTTCCAAAGAAGCCTGGATTTTAGCTCCCTTCCTTGCAGTCATCACTCCTCACCTCCATTTACAAAGAATTCATGTGCCTCCGTAGTCCAGTTATTATCTTGTCGGTCCTATAGGGCTGCGAATATTGTGTCTGCTGCAGCCTGAGACTCCATGGTGGGAAATGTCTTTAGTTCCCTTCTGTCTCCTCCTGTCTGCCCTATTCTGTCATTTCTAAGTTGCCTTCCGTGGTATATCATAGAATCACAAAAACATAATGCAGATGAGGGCCTTACGGAGCATCTCATGTAACTTCATAATTTAAGGAGGAAAATAAAGTTTGGGTGGGGGGAAAGGGGATTGTTGAAGGACTTATTGCTCACAGGAAGTTAGGAAGAGAATCTGCATTCTGAGGCTGAATCTAGAACTTTCAATGACCCAGGTCCTGTAAAAAGGTCACTCAGGTCAAGACAATCCATATCTATTTAGTTTTAAGTGGAAACCCAGATCTGTGTCAGGCTCTGGGGCAGGGACTAAGGCAGCAGAGCATGCATTGTGGGAGGTCTTCCCTGGGTGCATCAGGAACGACATGTCCCTAACATTCTTATTAATGCTTTGTCAACATGAGAAAAGGTGACTTGTACTTGTTCTAACTTGACTTTCAGTTAGCAGTACATTCCAGATTTACCATCAGAACACAGTTTCATTCTAAGCATTATATGGTGACTCATTTGCAAGTAACATTTAGAAAACACTGACAGTGTGCAGGTCAGCTGCATTTATCATAATCCTCTGGGATGGAAGAAACAGGAGGTGGAAAGAGATTTGAGGCCATGCAAGCTGGAGGAGGAGGTTTAATTTTTCCAACAGATATCAATGAGATCTTTTTTTATTAATCTTTAGCTTTAAGTGTAAGCTCAAGTATTTGCTCTTAAAATCACTGTTAATAATGAATGTTGGAAGTGGAATTTGTTCATAGTTGTACCCTAGAGTAAAAGACTAAAGCTGGGTCAAAGGGAAACAGGAAAATCAGATGAAAGAGCTGGAAGGAATGCAAAGAGTTGGGCTTTTGCTAGCTAATATACATACATACATATATATATATATATATTTTTTTTTTTTTTTTTTTCAGACAAGGTCTCAGACTATTGTCCAGGCTGAAGTGCAATGGCACCATGATGGCTCACTGCAGCCTTGACTCCCCAGGCTAAAGAAATCCTCCCACAGTCTCCTGAGTAGCTGGGCCTACAGGTGCACACTGCCATGCCCAGCTAACATGATGGGGTTTTGTCCTGTTGCCCAGGCTGGTCTTAAACTACTGAGCTCAAGCAATCCATCTGCCTTGGCCTCCTAAAGTACTGGGCTTACAGGTGTGAGCCACTGTGCCTGGCAAAATACCATTTTTTTGAGAGGAGAATTCTAAGGGTTTTTATTAGTGTCACCCTGTGCTCTTCCTCATCCTCTCTGAGGGGAGCACTTTCAAATGGATGTTTTCAGTCTTCTAATGGAAGAGTAGGGTTGGGTTTTGGGTAGGTCTGAGGGAGGTGGATTCATTTCCCAACTGTTTTAGATCATTCACTTTTCAGTTTTGGCCACCCTTCAAGTTACTGAGCAAATGTAACAAACCTGTGTTTACTGCCTCCTCTTCGCCAATTGCTGTAATGTTTGATGTGAACACATGAGAGAGGCCTGGCTGTCTTAGAGGATTCCTGAAGTGCCAGGACAGCTCTCTTCTCTCCACCTCTGCTCTGTCCTCTACTTTTTCCTCTTCATCTCCTTAGAGAAGCATGATAGGGGTAGGGGAATGCAGAAGAAAAAAATAGAAACATTCCAGTTCATCCTCCAAGTTCTTACCTCACAGATATGTAGATGACAAGGTCCGTTGATGGCACCAATATTTAGCAGCTCAAAGTACGCCATGTTTTAAAAAACAACGTGGAAGTTAAAACAAGTTGATCTCATAAGAAGTAAAAAGCAGAACAGAGGGCAGTAGAGGCTAGGAATGGTAGGGCAAAGGGGCTGGAGACAGATCCTTTGTTAAAGAATACAAAATTACAGCTAGATAGAATTTCTTATGTTCTATAGCATTGGAGGATGACTGTGATTAACAATTTCATGCAGTTTCAAATAACCAGAAGGAGGATATTGAATGTTGGCAACACAAAGAAATGATACATGCTTGAGATGTTGGATGCACAATATCACTATATACCATATGTATCAAAACATCACTAAGTTCCCCATAAATATGTGCGATTATTATTTGTCAGTTATGCAATAAAATTTTTAAAATCGAGGTGCTGTAAAGCAAGTCAAAGGGGCTAATTAAATGGAAAAGAGACTAAGGGGTGTTTCTGCTCTTAGAGTTTTTGGGAGGAATTGTCACAAATTCTAGGAATGTATGTTCAAGCGTCTTTTCTCTGGGAGGAGGGAGAACAGATACTTTCAAAGCTTCAGTGATTCAAATCCAACTCTACCCTTGCAGGAGAAGCTGAAGTGGGAGAAGAAAACACCAAAAGGCCTGCCTAAGCCACCTTCCTCCCCCAGGGAGAGGGCAGATGTTCTCACTCTTCTGAGTGATGAATAACATCAGCTATAACAGCTAACATTTAAGAGAGTGCCAGGCAATGCCCACAAGGACTTTGCAAATTCAATTTACTTATTCTTAGTGACAGTGCAGTTAGGTAAGTGGACTCTCTCCATACCCATGTTATAGATGAGGACATTGAGGCCTAAGGAAATTAAACATCGTGTAGCTAATTAATGGTATAGCCAGATTTATACCCAAGTAATCTAGCCCCCAGTAGCCCATGGTCTTATCCACTATATAGTCATCCTTATTTATACCTCTTCTCAAACATCCTTCCCTCATGAGACACATCTTACCCTTCTTTTCATATCTTCCACCTTCTACAGACTGGAAATTACCCACTGTCTCTAGGCATTTCTGTCCTCAGATTCCTCTTTGTTGACATTTTCTTGAGGACATGTGGATGTGAGCAGCAATGCAGATAATCTAAGATAGCAAATCTAAAAATAATTTCTCCTTAGCTTTGACATTCATTGCTGCTATTGTTATTGTTCCGGCAGATTCACTTTTTTAATTGGATAAGGCTCCATGGAGCACCCACAGAGTCATGGCTGGCTGGTGGCCCAGGACATCTGGATGTGGCTGAGAGCCGCGCTGGGCTGGAGATGCAGATCTGGGATTTGATTTTTAGCTGTGAAGAACAATTAAAATTATCTGCAATCATGATGTTTTTAAATCAGCCATTTCAACAGTCAGTGGAAGCACCCCTGAAGGGTGGATGTGGAATGGGAGATATGAGAGCTAGACCAGTCAGCCCCTTTCAGGTTTTGAGGATTCCATAGAATGCTGAACTGGAATGGAGCTTAAAGGTCAAATATTCTAGGCCTTCATGTGAGGTCCAGAGAAGTCACTAATTAGACTTGGGTCTCACCATGGGCTTTAAGCAGCGGAAATGGACTAGAGCCTGGTTCTCACACTTTTGGCTGAACAGCCTTATTTCTGCAAGAATTGTCTTCCAGAGTAGACCTGAGCTCACTGACCTAGGATTATAGTTTACAAAAGCACCAAAGGAGAAGGCACAGCAGAATTTTATCCTTCTCCTATAATATTTTAGGATAGAATTGTATCATTTCCCTGATTTTATACGAAGTTAAACTTAGAAGATTATGAATATGCCTGGATTTCTTAACCTCATTTAATAACTCAGCACGGGCTTCTGGTCTATGGGTTTGTATAAATTATTCTGGAACCCACTTTTATCCAGTGCTTCCTTTTAGGAATAACGCTCTATACATTCACGTATTTTGTTTTTTAAGCCTTAGTCCTTGGTGAAGTAAAAGGAGTTTCCATAGTTTACATTTCAGTTTTGTTGTTTTCTGGATGTTTGATTTGGGGAAGGGGCAAGGTAATAAACTCTTCCAAAGCTTCAGATTCCTCTGTTGACTGGGGGTAATAAAAGAGAGGTTTGATGATGATTCCATGAAAATAACATGTTCAAGTTTCTGGTACAGACCTGACACATAGTAGGTGCATAAAAACACTGAAAGCATTTGTACTTTTATCCTTTATTACTTGACAGGCTTAGGTTGTATTTTCTCTGAGTATTCATCCTCCCACCATGGAACTCTCAAGTGTGCTGTTTCAGGGGATTTCCTAAGTGCCTTTTCTCTTTCTGAGGTTCAAGAAGCAAAATGAGTGTATTGTGGGTGTGGGAACTTCATGAGGAGATTAGTAGACATAGAGGTAGGGAAGTCTGTCTGTCTGACTGTCTGTCTATCTTCTCTCTATCCCCCTGTTTCTTTCTATCTTTCTATTTGTTTTCCTCTTACACTGCCTACTGTCTTTCTGAGACCATAGAGGCTATGGAAGAAGACATCACTAGGTGAAAATCCTGGCTAAATCACGTATGAACCACATTGACTTTGGTTGGTGTACTCAATTTCCCTGATCCTCAATCTCTGCAGCTAAATGGAGATAATAATGCCTAATTCATGGGTTGCTGTGAGAATCGGGCATATTATAAAGAAAGCCCGTCGCACGGTGCCAGGCACAAAAAAGCTAACAAAAAGTGGTGACTCATCATTTTATGTGACAACTCTAACTTCTATGATGTCATGTCAGCCTTTGGGCTCCCTCTGCATAGCAGCTGACAGCTGTAATTACTGTCATGACTCCTTTCCCTACATCATACAAGCCTTTTTCTTGGTTTATGACAGATAACTTGAAAATCATTAATTTGCATATATTTGAACTATATATGTTAAATTTAAATTTATAAAAGAAAATATTTTGAAGTAAAACTCTTTTTTTTT